TGCCAGGAGGAAGGCAGCCCGGGCGACGTGCTAATTCAGACTGTGAATACGCTTGTGCCAGCACCTTGACTCTTTGCTTCCGGTTGCTCTTTCGGCTGCAGGGGCCCCTTGAGATTCTTAGCTACCGTTCAGAAGCCATAGAGGAAAAGAGTGCTGTTCGAGTTCTTGTGCGGTAGCCACGTTGTCAGTTGGCACCGGAGCCTGCAGCCTCCAGGATCAGGAAGAACTTGATTCAGTGAGGTGCCAGGGCCAGTACTACTTGTCCAGGCAGTTGCGGATCGAAGTCTCCAAGCGGCTGGGCAAGTCGGAGGACGACAAGCACGTGCAGGCTTCCGTCACGCGCCAAGCACGTGAGCAGGCGGCGCCGTGGAAGAGCATATCGCTCGTGAACGACCTCACGCTGAAGATCGCCAACCGGCTTTCCCCTCCAATCCGAAAGGATTTCTTCCGGTCAGTGAACCTGCTGCAGGTGTACAACACCGAGAGCGAGAGTGAGGGCGAGCCGGCGCCGGCGGCCAGTTCTTCTTCCCGGAGGCGTCGATCCAGGAGCACCTCGAGGAGCCCGCCGGAGCGAGCATCTTCTTCTACTTCAAGGTTCGCGCCTTAGACCTCGGCTACCCGATCCTCCGCAAGACCTTCGAGCAATATGGCTCAGCAAGCCAATGGGGAGCAAGGCTGGGTCTACCGAGACAAGGACCCGCCACCGGGCTACTCCGGCGAAAGCCCGCAGTCGACTTTCAAGGCTTACCTTCGTGACTTGGAACTTTGGCAGGCGGCCACCGACGTGCCGGCAGAGAAGCAGGGCTTGAAGCTAGTTCAGGTCCTGTCTGGTGCGGCCAAGTCGGCCGTGGAGGTCCTTACGGTGGACGAGATCAAGGGCACGGACGGCTTCACCAATGTGGTCAAGAAGCTTAAGGCGGCATTCGCTCCTTTCATCGAGACGGCTTTGCCACGAGCTTTGGAGTCAGCGCTGTATGGGCAACCGCGCTCCCACAAGGAAACCTTGACGGAGTACCTCATCCGCTTCCAGAAGGGGCAGGCCCAGCTCCAGGATGAGGGCGTCACTTTGCCTACTAAGGCCTCTGGCTACCTGCTTTACCGCCAGGCGAACCTGGACCACGAGCTGGACTCTCGCTTGACTACCTGGCTGGCAGGCGACTTCTCCTTGGACAATGTGACCGCTAACCTTCGCCGCTTGGAGCGCGTGGTCACAGAGGGAGGCAAGAAAGTCTTTTGGACTGACTTTCCCGAAGGAGCGGACGAAGAGCCAGAAGAGGCAAGCGCAGAGCCCTGCCTGACACTCTTTGACGAGAGTGGGTGGCCGGACGACTTCGAGGAAGACGACCCGAACTTTGTGTACCTGAACGAGGGCAACTTGGACGATGTCCTGGATGAGGACGAGGTGGCGGAAGCTGTGGCTACCTACCAGCAAGTGCGCCAGCAGATCAAGGACACCCGCCTGGGACGGCAGTTCTATCGCCCGCCTTCTCTTCCAGGCAAGTCCCGCGAGAAGGGGGCAGGCAAAGGCCAAGGCGGAAAAGGCAAGTCCAAGTCGAGCAAAGGATCTGGAGGAAAGCCTTTCTCCGGATCAGCGCCGCGGAAGGTGCGCGTCGAAGAGCTGAAGCTTCGAACCCGCTGCAAGGCCTGCGGTCAAGTGGGGCATTGGGCCAGAGAATGTCGTCACCGGTCCTCGACCACAGGTTCGGCGTCAGCTTCTTCGTCGTCGGCGGCTCCGAGTTCTCAGCGTACCTCCTTCTACTGGCGGACGGGTCCTGACCAGAGTTCTTCATCGACGGCCTTTTTGACGGGAGCCGGCCCGGAAGAGAGCGCAAAAGGAGTTGCGAGTGAACAAGGTTCCGGGCTTTCAAGCTTTATCGGGGTTGCTTTAGAAGACCACCAGGGCTTGGGACACTGCAGCGCAAGAGGGGCTCGTTGGCAAGAATGCCTTGTTGAAGTACTTAGACGCACTTCGGCCTCTCGGCCTTCGAGGGCACTGGGTAGACAAGCCAGCTAGTGCTGGGGAATCGGGGGCAATGCTTCGGTTGTGGGCGTGTGCGAGCTTCCAGTCGGTTTGGCAGGGGTTCCTGGAGTTTTGGAGGTCACAGTCGTAGCAGAAGACGTCCCCTTGCTGATCCCCATATCCTTGTTGAAGGCCTTGGGTGCGGTGATCAATATCCCCAAAAGTACCATCCAGTTTCTGCGCGTGCAAGCCGATACGGTCATGCATTCTTTTGAGTTCCGGACACCTGGCAATCAGTGTCATGGAATTTGGTTCCAAGGGATGGCAGTTCCCTGAAGCTTGCAAAGCAGTTCGTCAAGAACGAGATTTTCGAACGAGCTCTCAGCAAGTGTCTGTGCAGAAGCGCCCCGGCCCAAGCCTTATGCGACCTCACACTCCCCTTAGCCTGTTCGGACATGCTTGCGTCCCAAGTGCTTCGTGCGGAGCAGCGCCCGGCAAAGGCGGCGCCAGCTCGGGCAACTCGACCAGAACACCGAGGAAGAGCCGCGCTCAAAGCTTGGCGCATCGTGTTGGACAAGCTCTACTGTGTCTTGCAGTGGGGCCGCTATCAAACGGCCATTTCGGCCTGGATGTGCTTTCCGGCGACCAATTTGGAGGTAAGTCCGGCATCCACAACCACTACGCGCTCGGGGGCTACTTTGGCGGCGACCTCCAAGGCCAACTTCTACAAGAACTACCTGGAGAAGAACCCCGAGCAGCTCGCCAGGGTGAAAGGTCTGCCGGTCAAGTCTTCCGAGGAGTGCCTCCACGAAGCACGGGCACATGAATTGGGTTCACTGCAGCCAATGCCTCAGCATCTTTGGCCAGGACTTTGCGTATCGGAAGAGCGCCAGAGCATCTTTGGAAATTGGTCAAGCGCTCCTTTCGTTGTCCTGCTTGCAGCTCCGGAGTTCTCCCGAAACCGGCGCGGCCGGCTGCCATACCCAAGAGTTACTCTCCGAATGTGGTGGTGGCGGTAGACCTCTTGCAAATGCCCACGTGGGATGGGGCGGACACCGACCGCTACCTGTATGGTGTGCCTAGGAACGAACTACCAGCTGATAGAAAAAGTTCGCTCCAAAGAACCGTTGGTGGTGTGGCTGGCCTTTATGCGAAGCTGGGCCAGGTTTCTGGGATTTCCACAGGTGTTGTTGTTGGACCAAGGAACAGAATTCGACAGAGCAAGCCGATTCGGCATTCTGCTCCATACAATCGGAGCCCGAGCGCCTCATCAAAACGGCCGGTGTGAAAGGCACGGAGGCCTTTTCAAAGCCATGGTTGAGAAAGCACGCTGGAGCAACCCGCCAGCCAGCCCGGAGGATTTGAAGCTGCTGGTTCGGGAAGTGGAGGCGGCGAAGAATTGCCTGTCAGACCGAAGCGGGTACTCACCTGCCCAGCGGATGATAGGCGAGACGCCTAAGCCTACGGGAGAGCTTCTTTCGGATGCCATCAGGCCCTGCGGAGAGCTATGAGAGCTAGAACCAGGACCCAGAGATCGTTCGAGGAGCTGGCGGTCTCAAGGCGCCCGCCGCTCAGGCTGGCAAGGACCAGGTGTTGTGATTCTCCAGAGGGTCCCAATGTCTATGTCAATGTGAAGGGCAAGATTTGGAAAGTGGCCAATGAACATGTCAGGGCAGGCACTTCTGAGGAGATGCGCGGCGTGGAGGCTGTGCATGAGGCTTTTCGAGACCTACAAGGACGCTTCCAGGACGACCGCCGCGGCATCCTGGATTACACTCAAGACCCGCTACCTCCTGAACATGAACGAGGGTACCGAGAGGAGCAAGTGGAAGCTGAAGGGCAGCAACGCGGCGCCCCCAGAGTGAGAATTCTGGAGCCAGAAACGCCATACCCTCTGCCACCAGTACCTGCTCCAGAAGCACCTCCCGTGGTCGAACCTCCCGAGACGCCAGTTCCGGAGGAGATCGTGCCGCGGCAGCGGGCAATGACTCGAGAGACAACGGGCGAGCCAGAGGCGGAGGGAGCACCCAACGTTCCAGATCCGGACCTAGGGCGAGCAGTCTCTTCGGCAGCGGCATCGTCACGTCAAGGCAGGTTGTTGGATGGACTTCCTTCGCAGCCAGCGGCCGCCGCAGCTCAAGCGGCCAGAAGGGCCCGAGAGGAGCAGGAGCAATACCATCCCGTGCGAGGCCAAGAGGAAGCAGCAAGAGCGCACCCTTACCATAGAGGGGTCGAGGAGGAAGAGGCCTTTGCCGCTGAGGAGGTCGAGCCTTTACCTCCCAGAGAAGCACTTCCTCGAGAACCGCAGCGAGATCATTGGCAGCTCTTCTTGGACAAGGGCATCTTGAGAAGACACCATGTAAAGTGGAGGGCGCATCCCTTTTCTCCATGGGAAGGCCCGCGAATGCCAGTGGAGATCTCGCAGCTTACCTGCGAGAGGTTCGTGTCCCGGCGTTACAAGGACGGCAGCCTGGACCAGGAAGACGACGACTGGAAGAGCCTCAAGCCAGCGAAGAAAGCCCACGGCAAGTGGAAAGGCTTCACCGACTTCTTCCTGACCAAGTCCGCCTTGAAGGACTTGCGCAAGAACCGGCCCCCAGAGGAGCAGGCTCTGAAGGACAGGCATTACATGTACGAGATTCTTCCGCCTCACTCCTGCCGCCAAGAAGACCAGCAGCGACGAAGTGGCACGTTGCGGACGCGGAGGAATGGAGTAAGATAGAAGGATCGCCGGCTGTGAGGGTGTTATCCTTGGCCGAGTCCTTAAAGACCCTCAAAAAGCTCGAGGCGACCCAGGAGCTCAGCCGGGTGATAGACAGCCGCATAGTTCGGAGGTACAAGCCCTCGGAGCAGATAGGCGAACCACCGAGCTTCAAATCGCGGTGGTGCGTCAGGGGTGATCAAGACCCAGACGCCTGCGAGCTCCAAGCTTACTCGCCTACAGTGTGCACGCAAAACTTGCAGGTCATCCTCCAGTTGGCAGCTAGCCATCGCATGCCAGGCTCTTGCGGGGATCTCAAATCCGCATTTATGCAAAGTAACCCGCTTCAGAGGCCAGCCGGCAAGCTTTACGCCAGACAGCCCAAAGGCGGGTTGCCCGGCATGGTTCCAGGGCAAATCATAGAGCTGGTGGCCGGAGTCTACGGACTGATAGATGGTCCGGCGCATTGGCGAGGCACCTTCAAAGAGTACCTCACGAGCAGCCTCCAGTACCGGCAGTCCCGCTTGGACCCGACCGTGTTCTCGCTGTTCTACGACGACAAGCTCGAGGGCCTGATCGTCGTGGAGATTGACGACATTCTGTCGATCGGCTACACAGAGCACGACCGGCGCCTGGGCATGCTTCGAGAAAGGTTCAAGTTTGGGAAGTTTAAGTACCTCCAGGAGCTTCCAGAGGGCGCCACCTTTAATGGCAGGCGGATTCGACAGGCGATGGACGGCACCATCTCCGTCGACATGGGCAAGTACGTGGAAGAGCGAATGGCCCCAGTGTCGATTGAGAGGGGAAGGTGAAGCCATCCCGAAGCTCCAGCCACGGAGGAGGAGAGACAGAAAGCCAGGGGAGCCATTGGTTCGATTGCTTGGGCAGCCAAGGAAGGAAGGCCAGACTTAGCAGCTCCGGCAAGCATCTTGGCAGCCCGAATGAAGAACTTGAAGGTGAAGGACTTGCTGGAGATCAACAAGGCCATACAGAGTGCCAAGGGCAAAAGAGATCTCACGTTGAGGTACTTCCCGACACCGCCTGAGAGACTCGGATGGGGCACAGTGACTGATGCCTCCTGGGCTAGCCACGAAGACGGCAGTTCGCAAGGAGCTGGTGCAATCGTGGCGTTCGACAAGAGCCTCCTGGAAGGCGAGGTGGCGGCTTGCTCCATCGTTTGGTGGAAGTCCGGGAAGTTGAGACGAAAGGTGACTTCAACTTTGGCAGCCGAGGCCCAGTCTTTGAACAAGGGCCTGGGAGATCTGGTGTGGGTGCGAGCGATCTATGCCGAGCTGCTGGACCCGAAGTTTGACTTGGCCGAGTTTAAGCAGAGCATCAAGGCGCAGGCGGAACTAGTGTTGCAGAAGGCCGACGCTGACAAGACGCTTCGGGAGTCGTTGTCGGTAGTGGACGCGAAGTCCCTGTACAACAACCTCATGAAGGACGGCAACCAGCCTCAAGACAAGTTCACCGCCTTGGATGTTGCAATAGCCCGTGAGCGCATCGACGGCATGGGGGTTCAAGTCAGGTGGGTCGAGCACCAGAGCATGATCGTGGACGCCCTGACCAAATTAGGGGCGAACCCTGCGACTCTTTTCGATGTGATCGAGAAGGGCACCTTCCGACTTGTTGCCGAAGGAGACCGGTTGGAGGAACGCCTACGACGTCGTGAGACCGGACAGGTCAAACGTAGATAGGCGGTGACCAAAGAGTCAACAACAGTTTTTAGGGTGCTGTGAATACGCTTGTGCCAGCACCTTGACTCTTTGCTTCCGGTTGCTCTTTCGGCTGCAGGGGCCCCTTGAGATTCTTAGCTACCGTTCAGAAGCCATAGAGGAAAAGAGTGCTGTTCGAGTTCTTGTGCGGTAGCCACGTTGTCAAAAGAGAGAGAGAGAGAGAGAGAGACTGAGAGAGAGAGTGAGTGAGTGTGAGAGAGAGAGAGGAGCGGGTGCACAGTGTCCAGCTAAGTGTATTGCAAGGTGAGCCAAGACCTCAGATAGGCAGATGTAGTAGGATAAGTTTCCCTTAATTGCAAAGAAGAAATTGGTCTCAGGCAACACCTTTCCCACACCAGCTCCTCCAACTCTTTCTGCAAACCTAATTGTGCCTTCAGCTCACAACTAAGAAGCTGGAGTTGGCAGGGAGTAAGCTAGCTTCCAGGTAATGCCCTAGGAAGCGTGAGGGGTGAACCGACCTAGCAGCCCAACACGGGCTGGG